AGGTGGGTGCTGGGCTCTTCTCTAAAGTAACAAGTGATAGGACAGGAGATACACCAGGGGAGGTTTAGGCTGGAGATTAGGAAAAATTTCTTCACTGCAAGAGTGATGAGGCATTGGAACAGGCTGCCCAGGGCAGTGGTGGAGTCACCATCCCTGGAGGGGGTCAAGAAACGTGCAGATGTGGTGCTCAGGGACATGGTTTAGTGGGTTGGGTGGTGTGGGGTTGACAGTTGGACATGATGATCCTTAAGGTCTTTTCTAACCTTCATGATCCTATGATTATTCAGTGGGTTGGAGTGTGCACGGAGGCCTGGTACAAGACTGCTGGTTCAGCTGCTTCTGCCAGCATAACTGAATCAACCTGAAGTCTCTCTGCAGGGCTGTAAGAATTCATACCCAGGCAGGACCAAGCTCCTGCTTAGACTCCAGAGTAAAACTGAAGGTAGAGGACAACAGGTTACAAATCAGCCTGCTATCCAAGCAGACACTTTGACACCAAGTGGCTGTTTAGCCACATCATGACGTACATGAAGCTGCTGAGTAACTATGAAGTTGGTCCTATTTTTATTTCTGCATTTAGTGTTGCATCACTAAGAGAGTCTGCATTTATGAGAAACCATATGTTTTTACAAAGGATGCCAGATCTTTTTAAAACAATTCCAAGACAGAGCAAAGTCCATTTCCAATCTTTGCCAAGTTGCAGAGAAAAAAAAAACAAAACAACTTGAATGGAGGTGGGAATTTTTAGTAGTTGCGTATGTAAACACGTTTCACGATTTGAACAGGACTAGGAAATGTACGTTGCATTTTTGTTAAAGCAAAAAGCAATGCTCTAAGCACACACCCCTACAGAAACTCCATAATGACCTCTGTAAAATTAGTAACTGAGCAATTAAGAGATATGCTTTTACATCTCATTTGCATTGGCTCTGCATTTAAATATTTTCCCATAATGATAACGGTCACATACATAGCTTATATTCAGTAAAGTTAAATCAGGAATTGATTGGGCTCCATAGTCTTTCAGCTAAAACTGTAAATATCGGGATCTTGTCTGCTTTGTAGACAGTAGAGCAGGCCTCAGGAGAGCTCTGCCAGTTTATAGCAGCAGAAAATCAAGGCCAGAGGATCAAAGGGTCTTCTTCATAAAAGCAAGGATTTGTTTCCATGCCATCTTCTTCAAAAGGTTCTGAATTATCTGGTGAGTACTCTCCATACTAAAGTTATTTTCTTGCAGTGGCACTGTGTGTATACAGGTGTATAGCTTTGCACATTAAGAGATATATATTTAGAATCATAATAAAGTCTGAGTAAGATAGATTTGTCTGCATCTCTTTTCACTTCTTCCATTTTTATCTTACGCTTTCACAACCATTATCTCAGCAAATAATTAGTCTTCCTTTTAAACCCACAAGGAGTAACTCTGAGCATTAACAATATCCAAGCTTGTGCCACAGCCAGCCAAGGAAACAACCCTTCAGATTCCTGGCCCAGTGGAAGGTCTACTATACTTCCCATAAAACTGAAGGCGTTCCTCAGGATCCATCAAGACTGTAGAAAGCAACAAGTCAATAACCTTCTGGTAACACCCAAGAAAGCAACAAGTCCAACACAGCTCACTGCTTGATCTGGATGTATATCTCTAATGGCACTTTAGACATCAATGACGTCATGAATACCAAGGGATTAAAGAGATGCATCACACAGCCTTCACTTCCAACAGGTTCACCCAACATCAGAGATTTTGCAGTTCAAAATCCTTGTCAGTGTGGTTGGGAGAAAACCCTATTCCCTTCTGCAGCAAGCCCTAAATCAATTCCAAATAGCACTTCAAGTTTCCTATGCCATGCATGAGTTTTGCCTTTAAGTCTTTTGGAAAAGAGAAAAAATGTTTAGAAAAGACCATAAATAGAAAAGGACAATGTCCCTCACCAACCCCTGC